GAAGCCACGTCTGCCTCTGACGTTGCTGTTGGGGTGCCCTGACTGAAGCCGGTGCCAACAGGTTCTATACCAAATTAGCTCACTGCCCCAATGTCGATCGCCGTTGTGAAAACTCACGCTCAACCCACACCACGTTTGTCAGATTTGTCCACGACCATTGGTTGCGCACTGGCTTGAATGTGCCATATTGCCAGAGGAACGGTCCGTTCTCTAGCGACATCTGTTAAGCGGAGCCCTTTCCCACCAGGGTCCCAATTCCACTGACCTTGCAGGAAGCCTTCCAAGGAGCTGCACCCAGGACCGCCATTCAACCAAATCAGGATCTCATTGGTCGCATTCGGGTTCGACGAAGGGAAAAACCAAAAGTACAGCTCCGAAGCATTCTTTTCGCTGGAGATAGGCAAGAGGCCAGCATAGGATTCGCCCACGTCAAAATCCACGTCAGGGATTCCGGTGCCATTGACCGCATACTCTGTGCCTGGTCAGCCATGATCCTACAAGCGCATGAATTGGGAAACGAACTTTTGGTGGCATTGTTCAAGAACTTGTGCGGCGCTGCTCGCTTCTCGAGTTCTGGCACAACAGGGTGCGCGTGAGGTGCTGGAGCTCGCTTGAGCTGTGGGAGCTTCTTGCCCACATGCTGGGCGCTTCTACGTGCCGAAGTGAGGGAAACGAGGCCCAAAGCCAGAGCAATGATGGAGAACTTCATGTTGCCTGGCAGACGAAGAGTTTGAAAGGCGCACCAAAACTTGCACGACAGCACCGGAAGGGGGGACCAAGGCAAATAAAGGAAAATCTCAAATAGCCCTCAGAGCTCCCCCCTCCATCCAAAGATGGGATGATTCCCGCCTCACAGTTGAGCCATGATGAAAGCTGTCCCCGGTGGTCCAGGGTACCTATCTCCACCTCGTGGTAGCATCCATGTCATCCGAGGCGATACAAAATGGTGATTGAACGATAACAAGATCCTGCAGCTCCCCGAGGAACCGGTCTACGGTCAAAGCTGTAGCAAGGTTGTGCCTTCGGAGAGGCGTGTGGGAAGCGACATTGTAACGCTGATTGAGAGGCGCCCCTGCAGAAGCAGCAGTTAAAGGCTCAGTCTATGACGTGGAAGGGAATAGAATCGGGGGAGGGCGGCGAGGAGGTAGGAATAGGCTGGACGGCTGGAGACGATCTTGGGGAAGGATTGGTCTATCGCCATTGATGATTCGTCCACAGGCTTGATCGTGTGCCTGCTAACGAGCTGATAACGTTGTCCTTGCTACCAGCATGTAACCTACCGAGTAAGGTCTTCTCCACCAGAGCTTTCGGCAAGGGCTCAGTTGGCCAACAATGTTCTGCCGTTGATTTGACCACGATCGACATTGAATCCATCAGACAAAGGTACCTCGTACACATCGACTAGTTAAATTGACAAGGCGAACGCGACGACATGAATCAATTCAATACACAAACCGAAGTAGCCAAAGGGATGGACGAGGTTCAATGGACAATTTGGTGGAGTGATACGCAATAATTTGGACGATGGCCAGTGAAGGTGCAAATCGGCAGAGGCCGAGCGCAGGCAGGCGACGACCTCTACTTTCTTAGCCCAACTAAATCCCTGACAAGGTAGTTAGTTGCCCCTAGTGGCAAATTCTTAGCTGGCCTTAGGCGGTGCTTATGACCACTTAACTACCTGGGCAGAGCTATTTAGAGGCCTGGGTTCAACCCCTCATCCCGCCACCCACTTGCTTCCAGGCTTCGAGAAAAGCTTGTTCCCCCAGTGTCACCTTCCCATCTCCCTCCAGGCAGTAACTTCATATGGCAGGTCAGTGGCACGATACGAGGATCCCATCCAACTGCCTTCCGAGTTGCTAAGATAGCAAATTCTCCGGAACTGCCGCTGCACTTTGGTTCTACTTGTACGAGTACGCTCACAACGACATCTTCCTACCTCTGACATGCTCGTACTCGACATGGGCAGCATTTATAAGTAAGCAAGGCTGGTGTTCTGAAAGGCATAGCAAGGCTCAAGCCCAAGTCCCCTCATTGGACCAGCTAGGCAAGATCAACCCCTGGTGGCTGTTCAAGGCTGGCTGTGTGGCTGGCTGACAAGCACACCATGATCACCACCAACGCAGGTACTCGGTACTTGTGGGTGAATATCTGCGTAGATACGAGGTACACAGCCTTGCCTGCCCTGGTCCAACATCGTCCCTCGTTTATCCTGGCAAGGCACATCCATCACCTCTCGGGTCACTTCCACCACTATACACCACCAGACCGGTGTCCTCGTCAACGTGTCTCCGAATAATCTGTCCTCGACCGAATTTGGCTCGGTGGAATCCCTGAAGAACCTCGACATCGTGCCCCATCTTCTTCAATGTCTTGACCACTGCCTCATCAATGCCTTCTTCTAGGTACACGGTTCCTGCGTGTGTATCACCTTCCTTGGGCACGCTCGCTTCAATGCATATTCGAGGGGCGTCCAGGGCTTGTTGCGGATTCATGCCAAAGATTTCCATATTGAGAAGCACTTGGAGGTGGCCTTGCGGCTGCATAAAGCCGCCCATCACGCCGTATACCGAGTGCAGTTCTCGTTCTTCCTCTTTTCCGTGGGTGATCATCCCTGGAATGATTGTGTGGTAAGGCCTCTTTCCGCCCTGGTAGATATTTGGATGCTCTGGTGGGCCAAGATCAAAGTTCGACCCTCGATTTTGGAGGGTAAACCCGCAGCCCTGGGGGATGATGGAAGATCCAAATCCTTCGTAATTGGAGTTGATGAAGCTCATGCCATTGCCTTCCTTGTCCGCTACGGCGAAATACACGGTGTCGCTATGATTCTGGGCTGGGCTGGGTCCGGGCTGTCCATTGCTGTAAATACCAGCCTTGTCTTTGTTGAACAGCTTGGCCCGTTCGGCTAGGTATGGTCGCGAGATCATGTCTGCTGGCTTTATCGGCATAAATTCTGGGTCCGTCACCCACCATCGAGCGTCAGCAAACGCTATTCGAAGTGCCTCAATCACGGCATGCAAGTGTGCAGCACTGTTGTGGTCCTCCTGCGCAAACGTGGGAATCTGTCTCGTCCCCTCGAGCTCTTCCAGGATGCCGAGCGCCATGAGAGCAACGATTCCCTGTCCGTTGGGCGGGTGCTCCCACAGTTCGACAAAATGGTCGTCGGGTGAACCATTCGTCACTCTTTGAGGTCCCATCTTCTTGACATTCTGGGCGTTGAATCTCAGCGAGATAGGTTCGGTCTCTTGGGGGCCCCGGTTCATGTGGTCCTCCAGGTCTGACAGTTCCATGTGTCCTCCTGAAGACTTCAAGACGTCAACAATGGCCTGAGCGATTCTCCCAGTATAAAACCCTTTCTTTCCTTCTGTCGCCAAGGCTCTGAACGTCTTTGCAAGGTTTGGATTCTTCATGATCTCGCCAGCCCGAGGAGCCCGAACGAAATCTTCCGAGTGCTTGTCTCTTTTGAGCATTTCGCGGTAGTTCGGGGACGCACGCCTAAGATCTTCTTCACCTTCGTGCCACTGCGCACCGTATCAGCGTTGAGCTTCAAAGGTATGATGGAGTTCAGACAATACTCACCCACATGGCAGACAGCTCGCTAACGGGAAAGCCATTTTCTCCCAGCTCGATTGCCGGAGTCAGGATCTGCTCTAAGCTCAATTTCCCGCTCCCGAACTTCTCAATTGCATCGACCCATCCTCCAGGCGCCCCAGGAACCGTGACGGACAGCGCACTGAGGACGGGAATCTTGCCATTCTGCGACGAGGACAAACCCAGCTCTTTCCTCACTTGTTCGAGGGTGGTATTTTTCGGGCTGCGCCCTGAGCCGTTGAGAGCATGAACCTTCTTTGTCTTTGCGTCGAAGAAAAGGCAGAACATGTCTCCTCCGATACCGGTCGAGGTGGGCTCCGTCATGTTGAGCGCAGCAGCTGGTGGACGGTTAGACGCAATTCGAGCAGGAGGAAGAAGATACTTGACAGACCGACTGCGACGGCTGCATCCTAATGGCGTCGTTAGTTTGTACTGTACCCATTGGCTTTTTCTCTGTGCGTGTGTCTACTTACAGCGGCATTCCCTCCCATCTTCAAAATTCTTTGCCCTGCCTCCGCCGCCAACGGCTGTGAGCATGCCACCATTCCCTGTGTGCTGTGGACCACGCTTCTTCTGCTCGGGAATTTCATAAACATTGCAGTATTGCCAGGGAAGATGGCTTGCGCCTTCATATCTTTGCTGGTTGAACCCATTGTGGTCAATCGTCTGGGGACGTAGGAGGGACAGAGCCTGCGAGGTGGTGCTGTTAGCTGAACAAGAGAGCCGCGAATTGCACGGCGGACGGTCCTGGAGATCAGCAATTTGGAACGGATCAGGATGAGAATGAGCAATGATAAGGAAACCAAGTATACTTGACCTCCTGCTGCTTGGAGTCAATGTTTCTTCCAGGTCATTTGGAGGGGCCTTCGTTTTGCCGGAACAGTAGTAAATAAAATCGCATCATGCCGCCTGCCCCTCCCATGACGTGGAGAAACGCGAAAACGGCCTGTGCTCCTGTGTCCAAACATGAGGGGCGAACAACACCGAAATAAGCAAACCTTACTTGCCGCGCACCCCTCTAAGCTTGGGCTCCTTTCGGCAGGTCGTTCTGGTGTCGCAGCCCATCAGGACTTCTCCGTCGATGGAGGCATCGGTCGCTCCCCGAAACGGCGACGACGACGGCGAAGTTGGCCGGCCGGGAATTCAGCGTCCATGGTTCAAAGAAGGAAAATTGCTCATTCATAGACTACCATCTCCGTACATTGGCTAATCCAAACACATTAGGCACTAGTTATACAAAGAATTGGCCGTGAGACCAATCCGCCGCCCGGCACATATGAGATACTCCTAAAACGAGTGCTCCGGACCCCACCATTTTCCTTCATCCCTGGTATCCTGCCATTTACTGTCGACGATGTATATTCCAATCACTCTCAGCTTCGAGGCCCCAAGCATGTCTCGGACGCCGGATATCAGGCACCGACCCTCTCTCCTCGCCAGATCTCCCTGACAGTCGTGTGCTCCACAAGTGTATTGATTGCTTTGCCCAAGATTCCGAACCTTGGAGTTGTGCGAGGCTCAGGATGGTAATGGCGATCCCTCCTTGAGCTTGCGTGTCTCGATGACTTTCCCCGGTCCTCTGTAACATCGTCCTTGTCATCTCGCTCTCGATCCGAAGCATCTTCGCGAGACCTGTGGTGTCTATGTTCGCGGTGCTCGTGATGACGACTCCTCGTTCTCTCTCGTGATCTGTCGCCTGAAATGTCGGTATCGTTCACCTTAATCATCAGCAGAGGTCTGGTATCGCTCTCGCCTGTGGCCATCCTCTTCAAAATGACAGGAATCGGTACCACCGGAGAACCACCACCAAAATGAGTTCCTGCGCTGCTGGGCCGCCTCGTTCTCCTAGGCTCACTGCTGCTTTCGGTGGCAGCATCTCGAGATGACTCTGGTGCTTTCTCCTTCTCCTTGCTCCTCCTCTTCATGGCGGCGTCTGTTCCTTCAGCCTCCGATCTTCGCCTTTCCTTTTCTTCGTGGCGTCTACGCCTTCTCTCTTCCTTGGCACCTTCTTCCTCGGCCTGGCGTCGACTTTGACCATCCCTTGTGACAGGCCGCTCACCTTCATGCCGAGCTCTCCTGGCTCTCCTCCTCTCTGCTCTTTCACGCTCCTCCTCAGGTGAACGGTCGTGTCGGCTATGCTCTTTATCTTTGGCTTGTCTTTTGATTTGCCTCGCGAATGCGTTGTCGAATAGTCCTGCTTCGCCTCTGGATCTCTCAAGCTTCCCTCTATGGCCATGCAATTGATCTTTCGAACTGTGTCCGCGTTTTTCATGAGACTTCCTTCGTCTTTCCTTTGAACTTTTAGACACTTCCGATGCCATAAGGCCACCCGCCGCACCAGCGACTGCGCCAATAGCAGCTGCTTCAAGCGGGGACATCGATCCCTCCACTCCTGGGATCTCTTTCTCTTCAGCAGCTGGTTCAACTTCTTCTTCGTGTCCAGCCTCCTCCGCTTCAGGCTCCTCGTCGACTGTGGCATCGTTATCGGCTGTTTCTTCTGGTGCAGCAATTGATGCCCCGGGCTCTCCAGAGGCTGCTTCGGTCACTGGTTCCTCAGCAACTTCTTCGACGGGTGCCTCTTCGGGAGCTTCTTCAGACGCCGGCTCGTCCCCGGTTTCATCTGTAGGTTCTTCAGGTGTAGGCTCTCCTGCCGTCCCCGCCGCGGTTGCCTCAACCACAGGGTCTTCGGGGGCTGCTTCATCAACTGGGTCATCAGCCTCTTCGGGTACCTCAGCAACCTCTTCTGGAGGCTCTTCGGGAGCATCCTCGAGAGTTTTAACGGTCTCCTCGGGTGCCTCAGGAACCTCTTCTAGAGGCTCTTCGGGGGCTCCTTCATCAGCTGGGTTATCAGCCTCTTCGGGAGCTTCCTCAGGAGCTTCAACAGTCTCTTCGGGTACCTCAGCAACCTCTTCTGGAGCCTCTTCTGGAGCCTCTTCGGGAGCTTCCTCGGGAGCTTTAACGGTCTCCTCGGGCGCCTCAGCAACCTCTTCTGGAGCCTCTCCAGGAGCTTCAGCAGTGTCTTTAGGAGCCTCTTCAGGAGCTTCAGCAGTCGCTTCTGGAGTCTCTTCAGAAGTCTTTTCCGTTGGAGCCTCTTCTGCAGCCTCTTCTGCAGCCTCTTCTGCAGCCTCTTCAGTAACCTCTTCAGCAGTCTCTTCAGGAGTATCAGCAGCCTCTTCAGGAGCCTCTTCAGCAACCTCTTCAGGGCCCTCAGCAGTCTCTTCAGGAGTATTTTCCGCTGGAGATTCGTCTGCTGCAGCCTCTTCTGCCGGGGTCTCTTCTGCCGGGGTCTCTTCTGCCGGGGTCTCTTCTGCCGGGGTCTCTGCAGATTCGTCGATGTGTTCCTCGCCGTGTGCGTCTGTGGTTTCTCCCTTTACTTCGTCTGCGATTTCTTCAGAAGCAGGTTGCGTAGTAGGCTCTTCGGTGGCGGGCTCCTCCTCAACAGGCTCCTCAACAGGCTCCTCAACAGGCTCCTCAACAGGCTCCTCAACAGGCTCCTCAGCAGTAGGCTCCTCAGTCGCTTCAGTAGATGGTTCTTGCGCTGACACCTCCTTTGAGGCGTCACCTGTCGTTGAATCTTCAGCTTTCTCCAAAGACCCGTCTTCAGCGGTTTCCGCTGACTTTGTTTCTTCAGCTCCGTGGTCTTCGGTGGCATCTTCATCCGCAGGTATCTCCTTGGTCGACCCATCCTCCACCACGACCTCTTCCGCCGTGGCCTCTTGCGCCGGTACGTCCTCGGGAGGGCTTTCTACTATTGGCGTCTCTTCTGAGGCAGCTTCTTCGTCTTGGCTGGAGTCCCCTCCAGCCGCTGGTGCCTCAACGCCGGCTTCTGGCGATTCCTCCTTTTCTGCACTTTCCTCTGCTTTTTCATCAGGAACGGGATCATCAGAGGCAGTGTTCTCCTCCGTATCGTCGTTGTCCCCGCTCCCATCAGCCTCTACAGTCTCAGGCGCCAGGTTATCGTCCTGTTCGCCTTGCTTTTCCTCCCCAGCCGGCGGGTCAGGGTGCGCATCATCTGCCGCTTCTAATGCATCTGTGGCAGAGACATCACCTTCGGTGCTGTCCGGCGACCCTTCTATCTCAGCATCGTCGGCTGGTGGTTCTCCGCTTGCTTCAATTGTTTCCTCCACCTTTTCTGCGGGCTCCGAAGCGGTAGATTCGTCGTTGGTTTTGCCTTGATCTGAAGTTGACGGATCTTCTGCCTCATCGGCAGGGCTCTCTGCCGGTGCCCCGCCATCTTCGAGTGCTGGCTCTGCGGTGGAATCGGACACACCTTCTTCACTTTCTATTGCGGGTGTTTCGGCGCTTTCTGCGCTCTCACCCGACGACTGTTCAATGTCGGCCGCTGACTCGGGAGAAGCAGGACCGGCTCCGACGTCAGACATGGCCTTTTCTAAGACTTCAGTAATTTGCTCCGGAGGAACATCGGCTTCCTGCATCTTCTCCACTACCTCCACCACTGTCTCTGGTTCGGAAGGTTTGTCGCTGTCGCTCGAATCGATGGCGGTAGCTTCAGATGAGTCAGCAGGATCTTGGTCTTCGCCGAGATCCTTTGGTTCGCCCTCGGTAGGCTGCTCGACATTCTCGTTTTTCGGTTCCTCTTGGTCTGGCTCCGCGACGGTGTCCGATGCATCTGCCGATGCCTCGTCTTCATTCGCGGCAGGAGCACCATCTTCCTTAGACTGCACGTCCTCGCCCTCGGGAGGGGTCTCAGGGGGTGCTACTTCTGTTGAAGGACACGTCAGAGTGAATCGGTTCAGGGATGGGTTTTGATGCAAAATACTGTTGTCTCCATCTCTCGCGACCTCCTCAGCGCTAGTGTCCTCTGGCGCCGTTCCGTCGTTCATGACAGTGGTGTCTATAGAAGGTGGTCAGCGTAAGAGCCAGGGTTTCGTCAAGACGCAACTCACCCTCCATAACCTTGGGTTGTTTTTCGGAGGGTGTGGGAGGAAGCTCTGCGACAGCGTCAGAGGTGGTGGCTGTCTCCTCATTCTTCAACTGGTCGTCAGTATCAGGGTTGCTGGGATCAATTTCCTCGGGTGCAATGATAGGATGAAGGGAGTATGTAACGGCGCTTGGATCAAATGTTTGCCATTGATAAGCAGGAAGTTTGGCGTACTGGAACTGAGACTCGTATGACTGAGCCATCGCCGATGTCTTTGGATTCATCAGACCGGGGTTCAGGGAAATGCTTCTTATTCTTTCTCCTTTTAGCCTTTCCCATGGCTGGTGTGCCTGGGGTTGTAGAGGCACACTGCTGTCAGGCCAATTTCTCGGTGCTACCAATCTTTCTGTTGCACAGGGGTCATGAACGGTGCGGAGGGGTCGGAAAGCACAATGACGCTATCTAACCGACTCAATACTGGAGGGCAAAACCCTCATGAACCTCGTAAAGTGACGAAAAGATGTATAGGAGGGGGGAGGGGTGGCTGAAGGACGCATCATGGTGGTGTGAAATCTGGTTGAATGGAAGGGTGACCTGCAAAGCCCAAGCATGAATCATCCCACCGGGCAGCAGGGCCACTTCAGCCAAAAGATGAACGAGAATCAAGGCATGCTTGTTTGGGATAGCAGGCCCCGGCAATTGGACCACGTCAACGATGAAAGGCTGGTCTGGCGCATATTCGGATGGCAAAGTGTGCAGAAACCATGCGGCGATATGCGGGTGGAAAATGATACAAAGCAGCATAGTTCTGACTCAAGGTCAGACAACTGCATCAGTGAGTGGAATAATCCAGCCCAAATGTCCGCAATTGGACGAAATGTGCATGGTGAGGGCGACGATTGGATCGCGTAGAGACGGGAAGTCGTACCTAGACTGATGCCCAACAGAGGTGACTGGTCAGCCAGAAAGGAAAAATGTCTGCGGCCAGAAGGAAGCACTTTTTTCTTCGTCTCTTGTGGCGAGTGTCCATGTGTCTCGATTTGCTAGAGGGCTATGCAGTGTGCTGGATTCCTTGACGCCAGTTCGTCCAGAGACGTGGAGGAGTTCATTGGCGAGGCACAGAATGTTGCCAGCATCCTTGTTCAAGCACGGGAAGAGCACAGGAAAAGGAAAGGAGCTTTTAGTGTCTTTGTTGGCGTGGGCAGTACCGATGAGAGATTGCTGCCATTGGCGATCCCAAGGGGAGGCGATGATCATGAGCTTGTCACAGTACAAGTGGTCGGGTATCCGTAGTAAAGCGATGAAGAATCAAGAGAATTGGGAAACAGAAGATTTTTGCTCCCGAGAGGGAACTTTGGTACGGCTCGCGCCGATGGACAAACGGCCCGCAGAAAGGTTGCTGTGCCGCAGATCATTGTCGAGGACTTCGCCGTCTTCCTCCTGGTAGTGTTGTTGTTTGGCTGCTTGGATTGAGTTGGTGCCTCACTTCCAAACTCCGCATTTTATTTGAGGTTCAAAGAGGGCGCAGGAGGAGAGGGGTAGGCACGTGACCCTGAATCACGAGGGCTTTTAAAGTCACGTGCTAACTGGGACAAATTCCTGGGGCGTTTTGGCCCCCAATGAATCTCATGGCTTGCATGGTCTTGAATATTTTATCTGAGCTGTCGATCCATCTTTTCTCTCCAATTTTCGCCATATCGTTTCATCGCCCAAATGACCGAGGCGCTTGATAATGCCCAAAGGCCCAGAATGGTGAACAGCCAACCATTCCCGATTGCCGCGATGAGGGGAGCCACTACAACAGTGCCAACACATGATACAAGGTTGCGGCACAAGTTATTTAAGGCAACACCAGAGGAGGATCGTTGTGGCATGAACTCGGTCAACATAGTGGTGGACATGGCGAAGATGAGCATGGACCCCACGCCGTAGAAGAAATTCGCAATGGCCTATACCACACGTGTCAACGTTGGTACCTTGCATGTAACAAAGTTCCCCCATGTGTTGGTGATTCACGTTGACTTACCGGTGCTACCCACAGGACACCTTTCTCAACGGTCCATCCGTACCATATCAAGGCGCAAGGATAGACTAATGCACCTAGCCACGCGTTTTCGCGCATGCGGTCTTCTGGTCGAAAGATTAATTTTCCGTGCTGATCCACTCGATTTGCCTTGATCGCCTCGCGCCTCATGATATAGTCCATCCAGCGACCGCCAAGTACACTGGCGAGAATATACCCGATGGAGTTGGGCAGATAGAGCAAGCCGATGATGATGGTCGAGAAGTCGTAGGGTTCCCTCTCAAAAGAATACTGGATACTGATGTTGAGCATGTAGAGCGCACCGAAAGTAACCGCCGAGTAATACACCGTCAGCAAGACAGGCATGAACCGGAGGTACAGGATGACGCTCAGTGGGTCCAACAAAAACGTCCGTGCAACCTTCAAATACTTTTTTGACTTATCCTGTATCACTTCTCGGGTCGACGTTCGACTCAGTGAAGGTCGATGGCTGCTGTTGTTGATCGACGATGCCACATCCGCCAGGACTTCCTCCGTCCTATCCTTGCGTATCTTGAGGGTTTCAGGTAGACCGAAGAAGATCAATGCCCAAGTCAGGACTGAAATTTTGCGTCAGGAGCCGGTTTCTTTTAGGCGACGAGACAATTCTGGCTTAATGCCAGAAATGTTGGGGGCTTACCTCCGTATATGGCGAGAGCCCACTGAGTTGCTCTCCAGTCCCAAACTTGGCCGAGAATACCACCCACGATAGGTGCCAGTAATGGCCCACACAGAGGTCCCAAGAAGTAGATCCCCATCGCTCTGCCCCTCTCGTGTGACTTCCAGATATCAGCGAGCGTTCCAGCGCCCACGGCTTGCACAGACGCCGAAGCTCCTCCAGCAAGCAGTCGCATAACGATCAACATGGATATTGAATGGGAGACGGCGCTCAAGACGGAGAACAAGATGAATAAGGCAAACGAGGTGATGTAGACGGTCCGGCGCCCGGCCGTCTCTGAAAAAGCCGACCACCAGAGGGGGAAAATAGCCATGCTCAACATATATAATGAAACGGATAGGTTGGTGGTGGTCGCGTCGGTGTGCAGAGATCTAGCCACCTCATCCAGGGTCGCTAAACGGCAATCAATTGAGTCAGTCTAGGGGCAAACTCCAACAAGATTAACGGTCGACGCAACATACGTAAAATGATGGCACTAGCCACGGGGGCGGCAGCGGCAGTAATGGCCACGACGAAGGTGATGAACCATTTTATGCTATTGCTATAATCTGTGGGTTCTGTGACCTCTGCCATGACACAGAAACGAGCAAAAAGACCACGTCTTTCCGACCGCGGTACCTTGGCAACGGGCCGTTTGGGAGTTATCGTCCTGGTCAGTGCAGCTTGTCCGATTTCGACATCATGCTGGATAACGACTGTCGAATGACCCGAATGATCAGAATGAATGGACCGGCTTTCGAAAGTGTCATCATGCTCTTTCCCTTTCGTCAGTCTCTCCTCCGAGGCCGGACCGCACACGGTATCTGGCAAGGGGGGGAGTTTCTCGAGGCCATCATGAGCCATGTGCGAAGTCCGAAGAGCGACGGATATAGATCAGACTTGGACAGGTGAGCTCGAGTATTTGCTGGCAGAGTCATCATTCAAACATTTATACCCAAAGAATGGAGCCAAAGAAAGAACGTCAAGAAATGGAGAGCGAGAAACGGATGTTGGAGAATGCGGATATTAAAAGATACGGTCAGCCGCATGTCGCTCGGGCTCGCAGATCCTTAAAGGCAGGCATGGGCATGGCTTAACCGGGCATTAGGTGAAAAGGGACGTCCACAGCGGCAAATGGCGTGCATGGGGTTGCTATGTTGCTCGAGGGCCATCGCAGTTTACCGGGAGGCCAACATCGAAGGACGGATTCACCGCGGTTGACAGAACCAATGACGACAAGAGGATGACGGGGATTAAGCATTGCTAGTTGTGGGGGAGGAGGTTGAGCTGGCGATAAGTCCCATCAGATGGAGAGATCTAGGACTGATGATGGCTATTGTGCCGTTATTGCCGGAGAGGGAGAGGGACCAGAAGACAATTGGCAGAGATGAGGTTGTTAGATTTGCTTGGGCGAAACTCGAGGTACTCCTCAAGGAGCTCCTCGGCGGATGAGGAGGCAATTCTGATCACCAGAATAGTACATTCGCAGAGATATTGTGAAGATGGCCATGTCGTGCCAGTCAATTGCTCAATTGAAGGCAAGGTGAAATGGATGGAATGAAGCTCGCAATGCGGGAAGCCAGTGGGACTTGGCCTTCACCATAATCGTTGATTACGAGGTCTGGCCCACACAGAAGTCCTCTTTTCAATTCCCTACATTTAGTGTATTACTCGGTACTACTTCCGACTTTGTCGCTGCAGTCATCCTAAGGGCTGGGACCAATGATGATCTGAGCAACCTTGTTAGTGGTCGAACCACTGAGTTGAGACAATCTCCATGTCCTCCCATCTGACTCCTCACTACTACACTCGAGAATTTGTATCGCTGGCTAACAATGCGATAAGACACAAGAGCACAACATCACCGAGTCTGAGCGCGGGGCTGTGCATTCTCTCGAAACACTCTGGGACCACGGCAGTCGTCCACCCTACTCTTCCTAGACAACAGAACCGATCCGCCCACCAGTTCAATTTCTTCCGCTTCGGGCAAATTCGACCACACACTTTCATCCCCCACTATCCACCACCCCTCAGACACCGGCCACCTATTCCGCTTCTTCCCGCTCGTCGTTTCGAAGCTTGCCTCAGACCGTTGTGTTCGGCTGCTGAGCCTGCCCAAGTCGAACCAACGGCAATCATGTCTTCGACAAACGCCACGGCCGAGAACCGTGAAAGGCTCAAGGGACACATGTCCAAGTACGAAGGAGGCGCTTACGCGGAAGGCTGGGCCGAGTTGTGGAACAAGGGAGACTTCTTGCCCTGGGACCGTGGATCTCCATCCCCAGCCCTCGCCGACACGCTGATCAACCACGCCGATGTTATCGGCAATGCCCTCCTCGCCCCGTCGTCACCAGATGGACAGAAGCAGCGGAAACGCGCATTAGTCCCCGGCTGTGGCCGCGGCGTGGATGTTTTACTACTGGCCAGTTTCGGATATGATGTGGTCGGGCTAGAATATGCTGAAAAGGCGCTTGAAGCCTGTGAAAAGTATGCGGCTGAGAACGCCGCCAAGTATCCCGTCTATGATGAGAACATCGGGAAGGGAAAAATGGTCTTTCTCCAAGGGGACTTTTACAATAACCAATGGGTGGAAAAGGCGAGGACAGAGCTGGGTGCTGGTAGTGAGTGGGACGGCAAGTTCGATCTCATTTACGACTATACTGTGAGTAATGTTCCCTGACTTCTGATCTCCTTGTTGCTGCCTTCGTCCTCTCTTCAGGTATGGGATCTCATCCTCTGGGTGTTTGATCCTTGTGTCACACGCATACATCTTTTAGCTGACGTAGGAACCCTTACTCACACCTGCCCTTCCAGTTCTTCTGTGCAATGCGCCCAGGCATGCGTTCTGCTTGGGCGAAGCGCATGACCGAACTCCTCCGCCACTCCCCTCAAGCAAATCTTGTGTGCCTCGAGTTCCCAGTTACCAAGCCTGTCAAATCTGGCGGGCCCCCTTACGGCGTCGCTTCAAAGACATACCTCGAGCATTTGAGTCATCCAGGAGAGGAAATCCCCTATGACGAGGAAGGCAATGTCAAAATGAACCCACTAGCACCATCCAGCCCCGGTGCTATGGAAAGGGTTGGGCACTGGCATCCTGCCGACACGCATAATGTGGGCAAGGACAAGAACGGAAATGTAGAGGATTATATCTCGGTTTGGCGTCACCGCTGAGATCCTGGTGGTATTTTCCCCCACGTGATTGGTTAGCTGGGAGACAAGAGCTTGATAGGCATCAGGTGCTGTCCAAAAGCCTCCGTTTTGTTTCATCGGCCATTCATGACTCCACATGGAACAATAGGTGCCTGCTCAGCTTTGGTCCACTTTCTTCAACGCATTGTAATGTTCGCCAAGCCCAAAACTGTGTCGATAATATGCCAGCCAAATGGTGTCGTTTGAGCTGCCTTGGGAGGAAATTTTTTCCACTCGGCCGCTCGCTTGGAGCACGTTGATTTCGACACTGAAAGATCGCGCAATAGCCTGCAACTCCAACTCCCCACCCCATTCCGCCGTATCTCTGATCTTTTTCACATATACGTTCAAGGGCTCCTCCATGAATGCCTCAAAATCCTCGGGGTGGCTGGCCATAAACTCCGCAGCAGCGTATCTAACTTTCTCATATGGCTGCTTGACATTCCTGTCTGATTTTGCTGCGAGTACGTCGGCAGGCATGCTGTGTGCGCAGGCGGAAAAGAGACAGTGACCGTCGGGTCGGATGAGGGTTTCTGAAAGGCCTAATTTGGTCATCTGTTGCTTCATGTCGGCGAGTTCCCGCTCCCGGAGATCGGGGAGGCTCTCTGCCTCGAGAGCTGCGGCCGCTGCTTGTGCCTCCTGTTTGGCTGCTCGACGTGCCAGCCTCGCCTTTTGCCGATTTGGCTTTCGAGGTCGGGACTGGTCCGCGGGCGATGAATCCACGATGTTGGCTTGTTTAGGTGGCTCTGATGTAGCTTCTGGTACGCCGTTGACTTCTTCTCCCACAGGTTCATCGACGTTGAGATCCTCTAGGGCCTCCTGTAGCTCATTGGTACCTTGGGGTTGTAACTCTTGAATCTCGGCCTGCTGCTTTTCAGCCAGTACCCGCTCAAGTCTCTCACATTCATCATTGACGCCCTTTCTGGTTTTCTTGGTCGCATTCTTCTTTCTCTGCGTGATTTGTGCTTGGAGATCTCGCTTTTCCTTGCGGTGTTTCGCAAGTAATTCTTCCATGGCGACCCGTTGAGAGTAGGAATTGACTTCACCTAAGTTTTGGGCATTACGGTGAATTCTTTCCCGTGGCACGCGTCAGTCTTCTAGGTCTCGGATGCACTTATTTCAAGGATGGCGATGACTTGATGTCGGCATTGATCGCAGATATTTGAAATTTGTAACGCCACATTTTTCCACCAGAAGTGGCACAGATGAGGCTGTGGAGGCTCCTGGTGTCTGGCACGTGTTCGCCAGCGTGGCGCGCTTGGCTTGGCACTGATTTCTTTTCTTAGACAGCCTGGCGGACTCGGTTAACGAACCTGGTTGGGTAGGAAGTTGGTGCACACCAAGTACCGAGTAGATAATTTGGCCATGCTGGCCATGTTATGGCGGGCAAGGGCGGGCCCCGGGGCACCACCCACTGCCCAGCGCCCGCCACGGGCTCAATTAGGCTTCAGGGCTGATGGCTGCCCCTCGATTTCCCCGTCCCACCTCGAAACAACAGCGCGCGGCTGCTTCGAAAATGAGAGAAGCCACAGCATTCTCATCACAAATCCACCTCAGCGGCTATTTGGCGTAGACCTGAATTGCCCAATTTCATTCAAATCTCTCACTTTGACCATATTCCGGTATACAAATCCCCTTACTGGCTAGGTCTTACGCAAACATCTTCGCGCTACACCTGAAGTGGCCCCCACCATAGACCCCGACCGGACTCGCTCGCCGCATTCCAGGTTCACAGTTGCTCCCAGAGTGTCAGCACTGCTCAACTCTATCGTTCAGCCGCACCATATCCCACGACCGAAAACCTGCCTTGCCTTCCCGACCTTCTTGGCCGGATCTCCTTTAAAGCACCTGAACTGCTGCCTTGACCCCTCCTGTTACGATCCACCCTCTTCTCACGCTGCTCAAATACCAATCCAAAGCCATTCCGCAGTTGTAGGAGCAATAGCAACATGGGGGACCTTGCTGGGCGCAAAGTGTTCAAGGTCTTCAATCAAGACTTCATTGTCGATGAGAGGTATACCGTGACAAAAGAGTTGGGTCAGGGTGCATATGGTATTGTCTGGTAGGCCTCCCTGCGATCGCGCGCTGGAATGTCACTGACTTTGTCAAAAGTGCTGCCACCAACTCGCAAACGGGAGAAGGAGTGGCCATCAAGAAAGTCACCAATGTCTTCAGCAAGAAGATCCTCGCGAAGCGAGCATTGCGCGAAATCAAACTGCTGCAGCACTTCCGAGGCCATCGTAATGTCTGTTGTCGTGATCAATCGAGGAAAGACCTGCTGGCTGACTAGGCACAGATCACTTGTCTCTACGATATGGATATTCCCCGACCGGACAACTTCAACGAGACGTATCTCTATGAAGGTATGTTGACCCTCTTTCTGAGCGGACACAGTTGTTGACATGCACCAGAATTGATGGAGTGTGATCTCGCGGCCATCATTAGATCTGGCCAGCCACTCACCGATGCTCACTTTCAATCTTTCATCTACCAAATTCTGTGCGGCCTCAAGTACATCCATTCGGCGAATGTATTGCACAGAGATTTGAAACCCGGAAACCTTCTCGTCAATGCCGATTGCGAGCTCAAGATTTGCGATTTTGGTCTTGCCAGAGGTTTCTCCCAAGACCCTGAGGAGAATGCTGGATATATGACTGAATACGTCGCAACTCGATGGTATCGTGCTCCAGAGATTATGCTCAGCTTTCAGAGCTATACCAAAGCTAGTATGTTGGCATTCGATGGACACCTGAATTGCAACTAACACGCGAACAGTCGACGTGTGGTCGGTGGGATGTATTTTGGCAGAATTGCTCGGTGGCAGACCCTTCTTCAAGGGTCGGGACTACGTCGATCAGCTGAACCAGATTCTGCATTACCTAGGCACCCCTAACGAGGAGACTCTCTCGCGAATCGGATCACCTCGTGCTCAGGAGTATGTCCGAAACCTGCCATACATGCCCAAGATCACATTCCAAAGGCTGTTCCCGCAGGCGAACCCTGATGCCCTCGATCTTCTGGACCGAATGCTGGCATTCGATCCCTCGTCTCGTATCTCGGTGGAGGATGCTTTGGAGCACAGATACCTTCACATTTGGCACGACGCCAGTGATGAGCCTGCTTGCCCCAAGACCTTCGACTTTGCGTTTGAGGTTGTGGAGGATGTCCAGGAGATGCGCAAGATGATACTCGACGAAGTCATGAGATTTCGTCACCACGTTCGTCACCAGCCATCTCAGAATCCTACTGGCAACATGAACGTGCCTATTCCCGAGAACCCGAGTCAATGGAGCAGCCATGAGGATCCAAGGCCGCAAGAGCCGGGCGCTTTTGCGACGAATGACCTTGAACAGGAGCTACAATTGGGAGCAGATATGAGACGATAGACGATTCTGAACCTTCGGCCTTTTGCCATTTCGTTCAGCTTGGAGATGATATCAACGGAGTATTGATGCACGAAAACAACACAGTTCACTTGCTTACATGCCCTTCGCACAACTTCTGTACCGTTTCAATATACCAACCTGGATTTGGGAAGAGAAATGCATATTCCAAGCTGGGTCGTAGCTGACGATTATCGATAACGTGGTCAGTGTTCTCGTTCTCTCAACTGTCCGGATTTCACATCTGTTCACAGTCTTCACTTGTCCCTTCACTTTCCCTTCCTGCCATTTCAACGCCCCTCAGCTCTAAGACCGGTCGTTACTTCCACTGCCGCTTCCTCCGTCCATTATAGGGATTCTTACACTTCCTGCTCGACGGCCAACGTGGATACAAGCTGCGCTACTCTCAGGGTTGCAATGTCCTTGCTTACCTCGATGCCAACAAACAATTCGTCCCGTATCCTGAAAGCTAACCTCAAGGTTTCCTCTCCTCATCCTCAGTGTTAAACCATGACTGTTCTCATCCTGACCTTGATTTTCTGCGCTTGGGCTGTCTCCAGTGCTGTACTACCTGACACTTCAACTACAGTCGTGGGCAGACTGTCTGATGTTCCAACAGGATGGGCTCAGGTAAGGTGTTTCTAGCCCGGAACAAGGCGTTGTTGACTGACACAAAGAAGGGCAAACGACCGAGTCCGCAGGAAATCCTCAAATTGCGCCTCGCTCTGCACCAGCCTGCCATGAACGATGTCCACCAGCACCTACTTGACATCTCTACGCCTGATCATCCATCCTACGGTCGGCATCTGGAGAAACATGAACTGGACGACCTGCTGCGACCAGCGAGCGACACAGTTACCGCAGTCACACACTGGCTCGCGTGTGAAGGCATTCTGGAAACAAACATCACATATCAAGGATCCTGGATCACATTCAACGCTTCAGTCTCCCAAGCTGAGAGTCTTCTGGGCACAAAGTTTCATGAGTACCACAATGGTGAAACAACTTTGATTCGTACCTTGCAATACTCAGTCCCGACACGTCTGTGGCCACTGATCGCAACAATCCAACCCACCACCCGGTTTGGTCTACCAAGAGCACAAGCTAGCTTTATGCTGGAAACCAGAGACAATCCTGATCCTGGATTAGTCTCGCCATTTGGCGACCCTGACCTTCTGACGACCTATAATGCCACCTTTTGCAATAGCACCATCACCCCGGAATGCATTAGAGGCATCTATAGGATGACTGATTTTCAGGCCGATCCCAAGGCAAAGACGAAACTTGGTGTCTCTGGCTTCATCGAAGAAGGAGTGTATTTTGACGACCTTGAAGATTTTCTTAAGCTCACGGGTGCCAGTAATCAGGCTCATGACTTCTCCATCGTCCCGATCAACAATGGAGTCAGCGACCAGAAAGGAGTGAACAAGACTGCTGAGGGTAATCTCGACGTAGGTCTGCTTTCCGCGCCGTAGCCTCAATCATGATCATCTAACTGCCTCCAGGTGCAATACTCCGTGGCCCTGGCTCGAGGGACACCGGTAGTCTACTACTCAACCGCCGGACGCGCCCCAATGCTCGCAGATCTCGACCAGCCGACGCCTTCTCTGAACGGCAGCAACGAGCCATATCTTGATCAACTCCACTTCTTGTTGGGTCTCAACAGCTCAGACCTTCCCGATGTTCTCACCACCTCGTACGCTGAGGACGAGCAGACGGTACCTTTCGACTGGGCGAGGGAAGTATGCCTTGCATTTTCCTTCCTCGGTCTACGTGGAGTCTCTGTGATCTTCGCTTCAGGTGATACTGGTGTTGGTAGCGCGTGTCAATCGAACGACGGAAAGAAAACACCACGCTTCACACCGAATTTTCCAGCGACATGCCCCTATGTAACGGCCGTGGGAGGGACTTATGCTGTGAATCCAGAGATCGCAGCTGCTTTCTCCTCAGGAGGGTTTTCCAACTACTTCGCAGCACCATCTTACCAGGTCAACATCACAAAGGCCTACCTTTCCAGGTTGGGTAATCAGAACAAAGGGTATTTCAACGCCTCTGGGCGAGGCTACCCCGATGTCTCGGCGCAATCCGTGCGCTATCTGATCGAGAACCAAGATCGTGCAGAATTTTTGTACGGAACATCCTGCGCGGCGCCAACTTTTGCAGCTATTATATCCAATTTGAACAACAAACGTCTGGCGCAGGGGAAGGGAAAACTCGGCTTCTTGAACCCTTGGCTATATTCGCAGGGCTACCAAGCCTTCAACGACATCACGCTGGGACGTTCTCGTGGATGCTCAGGTCAAGACATGTACACTGGTCAGCCAGCGCCGAAGATTGCGGATGCCGGGTGGGACGCGGCCCCAGGATGGGATCCAGTTACAGGTTGGGGTACCCCAGACTTTCAGAAGCTTTCAAATATGATGGCTTCGTGAGACGAGGGAGAAGCTGGCCAGACGATCGAAGCATTCATTGGGACAGAGAGCGATAGGGCGGGGAAAGAAAGTGTTAAGAGAACGAGGGATACTAGGGTCAGCCATAGCAGATAACATTGAGGCGGGGTGTAAAGCAACATGGCTAAACAGGCTTTTTGTGGCAAATTAGCCCTGGAAGTCCCTCATAGTTTGCCAACTCCATTAACTTAACACATCAGTGAGAGCACAATCGATTTGACCCAGACAACTGCTCGTGAGCACTTCATCTCCTCTTGAACCCATTCTTCTGTCTCGGCTGGCTCCCGTAACTCCTCCTCACCGGGTTCTGCTTCTTGTCCCGCATGCTCGCACCCAACTGGATGTCCACCCTCGGCGGCGTGGGAAAGCCGAAACTCTTCGCGACCTTGACCAGGTCGAGCTTGTTGACGTCGAAGACGGAGCGGAGGCTGTGTGAGGCGTAGGCTTGCAGGTACGAGCGGTAACCATCCTTGGCTGACTGTATAGAGCAAGATTGGAGGTTAGATTTTGATCTTATGTAACCACTCACGCGAAATTGAGAATCTATGGAAATGAAAAGTAGGGGAGAGGGGGAGGAGGAACCCACCTTGTTCAAGTAGTAGTTCTGGCCGATCAGCTTCTCGAGCTGGCTCTGGATATTGACCAGCTTTTTAGCAGGGAAGTCGAACTCGACGACGGGCACGCGGGCCTCCTTTAGCTGGCTCAGGAAGCCGACTTCGCTGGGCTGCAGGAACATGAGGCTGCGGCCTTTGCCGTTGGAGCCGCGCGCCGTACGGCCCACTCGGTGGATGTAGTCGCGCGGGTCGTCCGGGGGGTCGAACTGCACGATCCAGTCGACGGCGGGGATGTCGAGGCCCCGGGCAGCGACGTCGGTGCAGATCAGGGTGCCGTGGGTGGCGTTGCAGAATTCGAAAAACGTGTTGGTCCGCTTCTGCTGCTTGAGGTTGCCGTGCAGCTCGAGCACGGGCAGGTCGATGTAATTGAGCAGCTCCGAGTGGTACTTGACGCAGTTGCAGCTGCTCATGAAGACGATGATCTTCTTTTTCAGGTTGCGCTTCAGGAAGCTGAAGAGGAGCAGGAACCGTTTGTCCGAGTCACAGATCACGTAGCCCTGCTCGAGCCCTTCAACCGTGCTGTGCTCCTTTTTGTGGTCGACGTTGATGTACAGCGGACCGGGGCGGAGCGAGATGCGTGCCAGGTCTTCAACTTTGGTCGTTTGCGTCGCGCTGAAGAGCATGGTCTGGCGATGGTCGCGGTCTGGGAGAATCTTGACGATTTGGCGCATTTCGTCTTCGAATCCGACTTCCAGGATACGGTCTGCTTCGTCAATAACGAGTGCTTTCACGTTCTTGTAGACGAAGCCCTTTGTATTTTGGAGGTGGTCGAGCAACCTGCCCGGAGTGGCAATCAGGAGGTTGACGCCCTTGACGAGCTTTTCGGCTTCGGCGCTGCGGTTTGCACCACCAATGACGATTCCAAACGTTTGACTGTGAAATTGCATGAGATCGCGGGCCACCCCGAAGATTTGCAGAGCCAATTCTCGTGTGGGCGAGACGACGATCACGCCAGTGCCGTTACGCGGTTTGAAGCGGAGTGCGTGCAACATTTCCACAGCGGGGATGAGGAAGGCGAGTGTCTTTCCCGAACCAGTTTTTGCGGCTCCCAGGACGTCACGGCCTGCCATTAGAGGGGGAATGCCTCGCCTTTGAATCTCGGTCATGTTGGTGAAACCCATTTCTTTAATGGCTTGCATCGTTTTTTCAGAAAGCTTGAGTTCGGAGAAAGCTTGAGGAGTGGTGTCGGTGCCAGGCAGCGAAGGAACCGTGTCTGTTGGCAGATCTGTGGGAGCAGGGGCAGAAGTAATTTCTGTGGTCATTGTCGTGGTATCGACCGTCTCTTCGAGTTCGGCCCCTGCTTCGTCGTCGTTGTCGACCTCCCCATCCACACCACTGTCTAAAGAATCCTCCTCTGCTTCTCGCGCAGCATCTTTTACAGATTCAGCGGAAACTTCGGCCTCAACATTGTCTTCCTCTTCGTCGTCGCTCGAGTGTGACGTCTTCCGTCTCTTTTTGCTCTTCTCTTGCGGTTCGTTCGTAGATCCAACAATTCGGTCGCTGGGAGCAGCCCGTGCAGGTTGCGTGCTGTGTTCGGCTTGTGTGTGCTTCGTCCGCTTTCTTTTACGCTTCTTCGATTCTGCCAACTGGGGATCTGTTGAGTTGGACATGTTGCTGCTGATCGCAAATCCCTGCTGGCGGTGAGACTGAGTGCAAAATGTTGCAGTTGGGAAAATTGCTGCGGAGTTCGCCAACAATTTTTCTGGTTATCGATAACGTTTAACGCTAGTCTCATATGAGCTAGTACGAGTCCAGCCAGTATATCAACTCCGTTGGAAGGTCAGCCGGGTTCTCGAAGCCCGTTGAACTCCTCGACGTCCTACTTTCCACAAAGTATAGAGTATCTCATCTACCTGCTGTGTATTATTGAGTCCTGACATGTGGCCAGCTGGGATCCCTTGTCGAATCCATTCTTGTAGATGGGACACGCAATGGATCAGTCATGTCCCAAATTTCTTGTTTTCGAATACGAATTCTCCTTGCGCTGAGGCTTCTCGATGGAGTTTGTGAAGAGTTTGACTTTCCTGTACCTGTCGTTGATCTCATGATCACCAGTTCTTTCGTATTCCGACATGCGGACTAGAGCTCAAGCCGCTGGACGAGCATCAGTCTTTATTTTTTGGGGGGGGGGGGTTTGGCAGAGTGTGGAGGCTTAGAGGTGCTGGCCACGATACCATGTGGCTATGATGCTATGAAGCAGAATCTATGCAGAATCTCCCGACTCTATGTATGCAATTAGACTTGATCAATCTCTGTAGGCCATGACAAAAGTTATATCAAATCTTATGGTGACGTTGAAGCTCAACCATCGTGTCATCATACGATCCAACTGTGTTTGCCGAGCGAGGCTGAACGCCTTATCAAGCGTTGCGGTCCGCGCACTCATTCCACCCACGACATCAGCGCACACCTTGTACATCTCTCTTCAAGTATCGGACCCGGCGTAATCGGGGAAGACTCTCAAGCATATATACTCAGGCATACATTGGGTCAAGCCCACTTCTTCCCCCATCTCCTGTTGACAGGTTGTCTATGCAGAAAATGGCCGACCCATCTGCCGCTGCCGAAGAGCACATCTCCCTTCCGACCGCTGACCTGATCAAAGTCACTGATCATATTTCACTGTTGCCGCCGCTGTCTCGGAGGGGCCGCGGGCCAGGACTTGTCCTCTTGCTGCCGGCGAATGCGCCACGCTACACGAATGGCGGCGTTGTTTGCGAGGATGGCATCCCACCTCCACTGCTAAAGTGGGCGGAAGAAGGATTCGCGGTGGTGGAGATTCGAGGAGAAGAATTCACTCAGGGCTCAACCACGACAGCGACGGAGATCCTCGCAAAAGCTGTCGCTGCGCTTGAGGAGTGTGAGAAGTGCGATGTGAAGGATGGAATTGGGATGGTCGGTGAGTCTGCCATCTCCTTGCCTCAGGAGGCTCCCTCCTCGCTACCAATTGTCTCTACCTTTTGTTCACTTCTGTTGTTTCCCCTGGGGATACTGAAAGACCATCTTCCAAGTCTACGACACCGCTCTCTGGAACGAGTTGGCCCGCAGTGCAGCTATCGGGCCCAAGATTGCGGCGGCGGTCATCTACGGCACGGCGGGGGACTTGGTCACTCCAGTCGCGATACCCAGACTCTGTCATTTCGCTGGACATGAAAAGCCAGGTTCGCACCCAGAGGCCAAGATATACACCTACCCAACGGCAAAGTCCCCCAAGTTCGTGATACCAGGGCAGCCGGAATTCGATGGCACCCAGGAAGCCGTCGCGCACACTCGAAACCTCACGTTCCTGAAGAAGTACATCCGCGGCTTGGACTTTGACCTGGAAGCCATCTGGGAGGAGCATACGTACTTTGAATTTGCGGAGCGCTCGGTACCCAAGACCATGGAAACTATGGTGCAAGAGCCCTATGTCAACCATATCACCACGGTACGAATATGTCCATTGACTCCTGCATCTCGCTACGTGGTTGTTCTGACTGCCCTGTTTTGGGGGTACCGCTGCAGATGACCGGCGGCATTGGTAGAACGAGTCTGACAAACTTTTACCGCAACCACTTCATCCCCAAGAACCCCAAAGACATGGAGCTCCTGCTCGTGAGTCGGACTATCGGCATCGATCGCGTCTGTGACGAGTTTGTTGCCAAGTTTACGCACGACATGGAAATCGACTGGCTGTAAGACATTCACTCCCTCTCTCCCCTGTCTCTCCCTGTGTGCCTCTCTCGTCTTTTGGACTCCTAAGAAACTTACCACTCCCCCGGACAGAGCCCCCGGCATCCCGCCCACGGGACGAAAAGTCGAGCTCCCCTGCACATCTGTCGTCTGCGTGCGTGGCGACCGCCTCTATCACGAACACATCGCGTGGGACCAAGCTTCGCTCCTGATCCAGCTGGGCCTCATGCCCGAATACCTCCCGTACCCGTATGCGCTCCCGGACGGCTCGAAACCGGCGCCGGGTAAAAAGTTCGAGTACCGCGTGCCCGCGGCCGGCGTGGAGACGTCGGTCAAGATGCTCGACAAGAACGGAATCCCGTCGAATGGAATGTTTGCATACAAGGTCCGAGAGGTTGACGCTTGAAAATGTGAATTGGGTTTTGTTTTCTCTCTCTCTTCCTCGCCCATCCACGTTCCAGGCAATGCAATGTTTTTGTTATAACCTCGTGAAATGCCGGTAATGGATGTAAATAGCGCCCAGACATATGATGGTATCATGAAAAAAGGCAAGGACTATCGCACCTATTCCGCTCACAGAAAACACGCGCGTCAACTGAACGTCAGACCGGCTAGCAACGTCTCGACGAGTCGCAACCGGTCTTCCACGTCTCTGCTTTCTCGCCGCCAGAAATTCAGCATCTCGATTACTTTGCC